GAAATCAAATTCTAGGAAATAAATCTCACTACATTCTCAAGCTTCTTTATAATAACTATTTGTGGTAATAAATCTAGAAAGGAAAAATCATTCTAAGCTACACGAAGTATATTCCAGCGCATGGCTACACATCTAAACTAAATTAATGTATCAAAATCTACATTAAGTATTGAATTTGCATGATAACATTCACGAACAAACATAGGTTATGTGGCTAACACCATAACCATCACTTTTATCCCGGTTTTGGTGCACCGCATGACGGTACCGGTAAAGTCCGGTTAGACCAACAAAAAAATATCTGACCGGTTAATTTAATCCGAAACCATTTGAATTATCCCAAACTAAGTCAATTCTTAACCAAAAAAAACCAAACCAGCCCACAATACTATAAGTTCAATTGTATCGATCTAGACTTGTAAATAGTCATTATTCACCTAGGGCTTTTGAGAGAGGAAAAAGATTGTCATGTTCACTTGAAACTAGAGGCGTTTGCTCGAATTACTTCTTGGAAGCTCAAGTAGAAGTGAGCATTTCTTCAACTACACCGCAAGGAAGCCAATTGGCTATATTACTTTTTAGATGATAAAGAGACTACAAAGACTATTTTTTATATTAGCAAGCACATTTTGGGATGTTTTGACAATCGGCTTCTTCTTTTTTTAGGATTTTTTGGCAAGCCAATCAACTTATATTTTTTTTTTCAGATTTTTGGGTGAATTTGTTTTGTTTGAATTCATGATTGCACTTGTCTTTGTACTTGGTTCATATTAACGTAAATAACATAAACTAGTATAGCTAAAAATATATTAGAAGGCCATTGTTACTTAAAAAAACACAGTCGATTAGCTTAAGTTTTGGGTTAGTTACTAACCAGGTCGGGTAATGTTTTTTTTATCAATTCGGGTCTAATCAGATTTTATCGGTTCCGTCGTGCGGTACACCAAAACCGTGACAAAAGTGATGGTTATGGTGTTAGCCAGATAACCTATGTTTGTTTGTGAATGTCATCATGCAAATTCAATACTTAGTGTAGATTTTGATATATTAATTTAGTTTGGATGTGTAGCCATGCGTTGGAGTATACTTTGTGTAGTTTTGAATGATTTTTCCATCTAGAAATAATTACACTAACATTTTCACATGTAAACACATAAACAAATCTTCAAGAATTTTTGGTCAAACCATCATCCAAACTACACTAAAAAAAGAGATGAAGTTTAGCCTTCCAGTACTTCACCATTGAAAGCAAAAGAAGAGTATAGCTTAAAAAGAGATCAAGACATTGTATGAAAACGTTGATTTCAATTGGAGTGCTAGAAACAGAAGAGTATAGCTTAATAACAAACTTCCCAAGGTCAGTGTAGGGAAGAGTCAAAGAAAAGTGGTCAGTCTATTGGTCATAATGATCGAAACCAATAAAAGAATCAAAATATGAAACCAAAACAAACATAATAAGAAGCTAGTAATTAGAATAACATTTTTGTAGCCTCTTGGAGATTAGAAGTGATCATCTTGTTTGCAGTTTGAACTGCATCCTCAGTCCTTCCAGCCTCAACATATGCATGAATCAGTGATGTATACGTTGCAACATCTGGTTTCGTAAAACTCTCTTTCAACAATTCATCAAACACATTCTCAGCCTCGGACAAGTTCCCGTTTCGACAAAACCTTGTAATAATGTTCTTGTAAGCTCCCACCGGCAAGTACTTGAGCTTGGCCTTGGTCTTGATGAAGGTGTTCAATGCATCACTGAACCGCCCCGACTTGAAACACTCGTTCACCATCATATTAAGAGTATCTACATCTAACTCAGAACGGTGGTAGTTAGAGTAATTGTCAAGCATATATTGGAACAATGCCCAAGCTTGTGTTTTCTTGCCATACTTGAGCAACACTTTCAAGTAGGCATTGGCCACAGCTCCATTTGCTGTGAATCCGTCTTTGTTGTTTAACGAGCTCTTGTATAGCTCCATAGCCTCCTCATCTTTGCCTTGCTTGAACAAATGCTCTACGAATACGGAATTCAAGATTTCGATTCTATTGCGTAAGGAACACGTCTTAAAGTCGTCCCGGAGCTCATACGCCATGTCGAGATTCCCCTGTTCCAAATAGCCGCGAATGAGATTCATGTACATGGCTGGCTCTTGGAAATTGAATAACTCACTCCTTCCCTTCAACAACAAATCCAGAGATCGTATGTGTTGTGGTCTGGACGAGGAGTGTTGTAGGAGAGGTGGGAGTAGAGTCGAAGAGCGTCGTCGAGGCGGCCTTCCTCGCAGTGGGATTTGATCATGAGATTGCAGGAAGCAATGTTAGGCTCCATCTTGGACTCGTTGAAAAAGAAGTGGAACAGATCCAAAGCGTCGTCAGACCGTTTAGCGCAGCACATGGCACCGATGATGGTGGTGCAGATTGGGATGGCTCTTTCGGGGTCTACCTTCTTGTTCACAACCAAACGAGCGTGCTTGGCTGCAGTGTCGAGGTCTGAAATGTTATTGATCAGGAACTGGACTCGTTGAACAATCAGTGAAAGTAATGGTCGGCTATTTGATCTCAAATCATCTAGCCGTTGCTTCCTGGGATGATCTCTCCCAATCGGATAAGGTTTTGCTGAAGACGTCATCCTCATCCTCTGGAGGATGAAGCGGCGGCTGCTGCTTGACATCGCCGGTTCTCAACTACTTTCTCAGTTCCTAAAACCTTTCAAAAATCGTAACCTAAAATAATCTAGAGAACCGGTTTATTTATAATGAAAAATATATGAATGTGATTGTCAAGATATCAATCAAACCAAACAAATCTAGATTTCAAATGAATATCTAACCGATATTAAGCCAAAATTCTCAATATTCAAAACGGTAAGTGTTACACAATTCTATGGAAAGAAAAAAGAGCTATATACACAAACTTCCCAAGGACGGTGTAGGGAAGAGCCAAAGAAAAGTGGCCAGTCATTGCAAATTTTGGTTGACTTGATAACATTCTTTTTGTTGTTTCTGTACTTTTTGAAAAATGAAAGTTACTTCTAACATTTTGTAAAAGCTTTACTGTTTTCTGTTTTGGTACCAAATCTGTGTCAAAAGTTGAAACATTTTGAAGACAATAAATAGAAAAACACAAAAAAGCCATGCTTCAAGTGGAACGAATGTTTTCTTATTTCAATCAGAACTGTACTTTGGATTCACACTCATAAAAACAACACCATTATTAAAATAGACAGAGACAAAGCAAAGCACACTGGATCAAGGCCATCACCAAACTGAAGCTTGAGCTGAACGTTGAAGCATGGTTACCAGGACCACCAGAATCTGTTCATCGGTGAAAAACCAGAGTATTAAGTCATTAACCTCGCTACTATACAATATCCAAATGTGCAGAAACCTGAATAAAAAAAACAAACCTTGACATGAATCTGGAGAAAGGGTTGTGAAGATGGTCTGGTTGGAGTAACCAGCATAGGCGCAAGAACGAGGTCCGCAAGAGGTAGTAGTTGTGTTACCTACAAGCAAACTCTCTGCTCCTTCGCATCGTGAAGACGGGCAAGTTTTCCAGTTCGAAGGCTTAAGTTCAGAGGAGGCTTCACAACTTAAACTGATCACAAAAAGACAAAAACCAAAACCCATCAGAATCTAGCAAAAACCAATCTTATATCATATTGGACAAACACAACTCCAAGATTATCAATCACTTACGTCCAATTCTTTGAAGCATCACAAGAGCACTTGATGCAATTGTTTGCAGTGAAAACATATGAGCTGTTAGGCAGAAGCATCATAGTAGCGTCCAACGAGTCATTCCTCACAGAAGAGCTACAAGCTGCAATTAAAGTGTAAAAGTTGTCAACTTTCTTTTAACAAATCACAAACCCAATCCTCAATTAGTAATAAAAACTCAAACCCAACTAGATTTGTCCAATTAAACTGCTAAAGTCATAGACTTTTCAGTATACTTTTCATTTACTTCATCTAAAACCATCATCAAAATCAAACCCATTTATATTAATCCAATGAACCTGATAAAGTCAAAGACTTTTCAATGCAAATCAAACTCAGAAGTCAGAAATTCAATGATAATTTCCGTTTACTTTCATCTAAACCATCATCAAATTCAAACCCATTTAGATTAGTCCAATGAAAATGATAAAGTCATAGACTTTTCAATGAAAGTTTTCGTTTATTTCATCTAAACCATCATCAAATTCAATCCCATTTAGATTAGTCAAACGAAACTACTAAAGCCACAAACTTTTCAATGAAATCAAACTCAAAAGTAAAAAATCTTCTGTTTTGTTTTGTTTACCTTTGAGAGGGACGTTGAGAGGATTATCAGCGAGGAGCTGAGCATCACCGGAGATCCCATTAAGCCGAGCCAGAGTGGTGTTATCCGTTCCAAACTGAGCAGCGATCTCACCGAGAGAGCTTCCAGATTTGACCACGTGTGTATAGTGAACAACATCTCGACCGTCCAATTTATCACAGCTACAAGGTAAAGGGATCCAAAACTTTTGACCGACTTCGATTAGGTCCTGGTTAGGGATTTTGTTCATCTCAACGATCTTCTGGTACTTAAGCAGCCCGCCGAAAACCTCAGTTGCGATGAAGCTAAGACCGTCGTCTTTCTTAACCGTGTATTCCGGGACCCGGTTCGATACACCGGTTCCGTTGGAGCAAGAACAAGGGATTGGTATGCGTACGACTTGGTTCGGGTTCACGGGTTGGTCAGGTCTGGTGGAGAGTGGGAGATTGTTAGCTGCGAGGATCGAACGGAGGTTCTTGACGGAGAAAAGGGTTTGGATATTACGCAACGTTGTGGCGTTCTTGCTTGAGTAACCGACGAGAGAGCGACACGTGGAGGGTGAGTCACCGGGTTCGCCGCATTTGAAGTTTCCGGTCATTTGGGCG